TTACTAACCATTTCCTTTGATTTTTTTGAGACATTTAAAATATCCAAATTTTGCTGTGATTTCCCCATAGGTAACTTACTTTAAGTTTAATTTTCATGTACTGGCAAACAGAACTGGGCCAAATACACTGAGAACAATTAGTATGGGAGTGTTTGCTTCTCAGCAATAGGTTGGGAATTTTGCTAATACTATCACCTATTCACCAACACCTGGAAAAGGCAGGTTGAGTTACTATATGAAATAATACAGCAAAAATCTCGTTGAAAGACATGGGTCCATGAGAAAAGGGCTGCTGAATTATTTCCTTGCTGTACTCCTTACAACATGTCCTACTTTCAGGTATAGTGAAATCTGGGTAACTTTATTCTTTGTACAAAAGGGATAAAAAAATGCTAAAAATGTTCAATAGTTCACTCCCCACACACAGCTAGTGAAAATTATTTTGCTGTATTCTTTATGTAGAAGTTTAACTATGGATGAATGCATTATGGATACTGATTATCCTTCATAATCAGATTTTCACCTACTTATTCTCTGTAAACCTGTGGATAGTTGATAATACACTTAGCTTTAAGTGTCCTGCATACCTTGGATATAGTATGCAGGTAAAATGGCACTGCCTATATATCCATATAGTAGCTTTCATCCAGACTGATTGATTGTAAAGCATTCTACAAATTGATTGTACAGATATACAAGAGCTCAATATTATTACACCATTTTCTTCAGAGTAAGCTGTAATATGATGGCCTCTCTATTACTCACACATCATTCTTTTTTGATAGATAATTACCTGAGAGTATCTCCACTTCTGGCACTTGATGCTAGTTGGTTTAGGCAGACCTGGCATAATATTTTCCAGATGATCCAGGATTATCGGCTGCACCTTTTCCTTATCCCATTCTAGATGTGCAGTTCCAAATGGTACACTGGTGTGCACAACAACAGATGGCCCAAATTCGGAAGACTCTGTGTGGGTGACATAGAAGGAAAGACAACTGCTTTCAAAAATAACCCCAAAACTTTCACTGAATCAACTGAACTAAGGATTGCTTACACTGCTCCTAAATCTAAAAACTTAGTTGTGGAAATTGATAGTGGATGTCACGGACGTCAGTCTGCCTTAAATGAAACTAAACAGAATACCTTGCAGGTACCAGTCACCATCCTTACTACTAAAAGTTACTCAATATATCTTTAGGAGAGACTTAGACACTTAAGGCTACATTTTCAAAGTGGCTTCAGTTGTTCCCTCAAGTTATTGGATGCACACTCTTGTTCACCCAAGGTTTTTTGTGACAACCTCTCCCCCAAGATTTTGTGCCTTTATTGAGCAGATATATGTAGGTAAGGTACCATTTATGATGTAGATATCCATTTACTACAGAGGGAACTGAAACGGAGGTCTTTAAGTTAAGCGGACCATGAACTAAATCAGGACAGCAATACTAACAACTTCACTAGTTAGTGCAGAATGTTCTTCTTTATTAGGGTTTAACACCATGACTTAGTTTGATAGATATACAGTTTGAGCCTGGGTTCTCATCTCTGCAGAGATGTCAAGTTATTTGCAGCTCGTTCTGAATTATGCACAAATGTGTATCAGAAAATGAAAATAAAAAATGGATTTGAGTAAATAAGAAGTTGGATGTTTTGTCCTACAGGAGAATGTGAAGCTCATGGGGAACCTATCACATTCCCTAGTGGATGTAATTTGGGACTGGCTAATTTCCAGGGATTTGATCGGGTCCCTTAGGGATTGCTGTTGTGGGGAGGAAGGAGGACGTGAGCCCATTGGGAGGGAGGAGTGGGTCAGGAATCCTACATGCAGTGAATCTTGACTGAGTCCAACTCCCCTGCCCAGTAATACCCCTCTCCCTTGCAAGACTACTCATTGAGATCAGCTTTCCCCTGATGCTGGGTCTAATTCTATTTCAGCCTAAGAAATAATAGGAGGGAGGCAGCAAGTGTCTACAATAGAAGTTGATGGTGGGGACTGTAACAACCTGCTGCAGTCCTGCTCCCTTGACAGATACCAGCCTGTTGAGATCTGGGTCTCACAGGTGCATTCCCCCAGGTGCAGAACCATGTCTGACATCGCTCTTGGCTACAGTCTGCCTAGTCCACAGAATCAGTGTCACAGACCTCCTGAGGCCCCCAGTTGCTTGGACACATCCCTTCAGAGACCCCATGACTGGAGAGTTCTGGTTCCCCTAGTTACAGCCTTCAGGGTCCATGTGGCAGTAAAGCAAGGAAACATAGGCTTAGCAAATGAATTTTTACACACACACACACACACACACACACACACACACACACACACACACACACTACTTACTTACTCTAGAA